CCTGGTCTACATACTGAGTTCCAGGACAGCTGGAGCTACAGGAAGACCCTGTCTCAAAAAGACCAAAAAATAAAAAAATAAAAATAAATAAAAAAATAAAAGGCTGGAAAAATGGTTAAGTGTTTAGAGCACTTGCTGCTCTTGCAGAGGACATGAGTTTGGTTCCTAACACCACCTGGCAGCTCACAGCCATCTGTAACTCCAGTTCCAGGGGAACCAAACACCCTCTTTTGGCCTCCATGGCCATTGCACACATGGGAGCACTTACATACAAGTAGGCAAAACACTCATACACATAAAATAAAAATAAATAAAAATTAAAAAAAAATAAGGCCAGGTATGGTGGCCCATACTTTTTTTTTTTTAATAAAAGAATTTATTAGATTGGTTTACATGAGAAGGGCTGGGTAGTTCAATAATGACAGAGTACTTGGTAGCTGCTCAATCCAATATATCTCAGCAGTCCTAATCTGATGCTGAAAGCCTAGAAATTCCCTAGAGAGTCTCAAGTGTTGCGCCTAGAAGGATGAAGAAGCTGGAGTCTGATGCCAGCACAGGATGGCTGCACTGTGTTCTTCTTGGACCACTTTCTGTCTAGGGTGCCCTTGATGGAAGGTGCTGCCCACATTGATTACTTTTCCCCCTTTGGGTAATTCTCTTTGGAACGTTCTTCACAGACTTGCCTGAGGTATGTCCATTAGGTGATTCTAAGTCTAGTCAAATTGATGTGGCCCATACTTTTAATCCCAGCAGTTGGAAGGCAGAAGCAGGTGGATCTCTGCGAGTTCAAGGCCAGCCTGGTCTACATAGTGAGTTCCAGGCCAGCTGGGGCTACAGGGAGACCCTGTCTCAAAAAGACAAAAAAAAAAATTATATTAAAAAAAATTATTTTATTCATTACTGTGTGTGTACACAGGCATGAGATGCCATGATAGGCATGTGGAAGTCAGAGGGAATTGGCTCTCTTCTGTGTGAACACAGGTCATCATTGCCCTCTTGTTTTTCTGTTATCTCTTTATTACAAAATCTTTGTTTTTAGCCGGGCATGGTGGTGCACGCCTTTAATCCCGGCACTTGGGAGGCAGAGGCAGGCGGATCTCTGTGAGTTCAAGGCCAGCCTGGTCTACATAGTGAGTTCCAGGCAGCTGGGGCTACAGGGAGACCCTGTCTCAAAAAGAACAAAAAGAAAAAATAAATAAATAAAAAAGCCTATGGGATCTGATCTTAAGTCTGTGTTGTTTTTGCTTCTTGTTGTTTGGTCTTTTTGAGGCAGGGTCTCCTTATAGCCCCAGCTGGCCTGGCACTCGCTATATAGACAAGGCTGGCCTCTATCTCAGAGATCCACCTGTCTCTGCCTCTGTTTCCAGAGTGCTGAGACCTACTGTTATGCTCATTGAAGTGAATGTACGTGTTTTGTACTTGCCTTGGTGTCCTTGGGGTTTCTTGGCTTCTGCAGCCCAACAGTTCCCCCCTCAGCCTTATCACAAGGCTCAGACCAAACCACGAGACTAAGATGTTTATGCAAGCTTCGGCAGCCACTGGAGGGACACAGCAGTTCCTGAATTAAGTTACCTCCTGTTAGCCCGCCAAGTACAAGGCTGGAATGTTTGCGCACAAGAAAAATATCTTTGGGAACCATGCCCGAGGTTATTGATAGTTATGAGATATGATGCCTACTTCCAATAACCAAACCAAAGCCTGTTGTTCCCTCTGTGGAGTGGGCAACCTGATCACCCCTGTGAGTGTTCAGTCCCTTTTGCAGCTTTGCCAGCTGGGGGTGGCACCATAAAAAAAAAATCAGTGCATTAAAAAAAATAATAAATCAGCGGCAGTCTCATCTGCACTATCTCCATGCCACAGATTCTATTATGTTCTGGGCTGGTTTGGTGATCAGTGGAATCTCGTGCTGGCTCTGTCTGAGTGTCCCTACTCATCACTCTGCCTCCTTGAATCTCCTATCTTGAGGAAATGCCCCAGGTGCCCACATGAGATAAGCCTGAGCTATGGGTTGGATCATGGCCCCCAAATCTATATATTCAAGTTCTAGCCCTCAGCACCTCAGAATTGTAATTTATTTGTAGATGAAGAAAAGAAAGGAAGGGGAGGGGAGAAAAAGGGAGGGGAGGGCAGAGGAAGGCTGGGGAGGGGAGGAAAGGTATATGCAGGTCAACTGGGAGAGTACTTGCCTAGTATGTGCAAAACCCTGGATTCAAGCCCCAGCACTACATAAAACTGGATGTGCTGGTGTGCACCTATAATCCCAGGTAGAGGCAGGAGGATCAAAAAGTTTAAGGTCAGCCAGGCATGGTGGCACATGCCTTTAATCCCAGCACTTGGGAGGTAGAGGCAGGCAGAGCTCTGTGAGTTCAAGGCCAGCCTGGCCTACATAAGCGAGTTCTAGGCCAGCTGAGGCTACAGAAAGACCCTGTCTCAAAATGACCAAAAAAAACAACTTGTACTTTGAAATCATTGCAGTGTTCACAGCAGGTCCCCCTGGGCTGCTCCCAGCTAAGGAGGCAAAGGCAGGCACATCTCTGAGTTTGAGGCTAGCCTGATCTACAAAACAAGTTCCAGGTTAGCCTGGACAATACAGTGAGACCCTGTCTCAAAAACCAACAGCAACAACAACAACAAAATAAATAAATAAAAGAAATAAAAGAGGGGGGCTGGAGAAATGGCTCAGTGGTTAAGAGCACTGGTTATTCTTACAGAGGATTTAATTAATGGGTTTAATTTCCAGCACCCACATGGCACTAACAATCATCCATAACTCCAGTTCCAGGGGAATCTAACGCCCTCTTCTGACATCCACAGGCACTGCATGACTCTGGTGTACTTACATAGGTGCAGGCAATACACTCATACAACCTAATTAAAAAATTAAAATAAAATTAAAGAGTCGGGTGTGGTGGCACACGCCTTTAATCCCGGCACTCGGGAGGCAGAGGCAGGTGTATCTCTGGGAGTTCCCGGTCAGCTGGGGCTACGGGGAGACCCTGTCTCAAAAAGATCAAAATAAATTAAAGAAAAAGCGGAGGGGAGGGGTCAGGAGGAAAATCTGAGCATAACAACACTCCTGTATTCCCAGCATAGGCAAACAGAGGAGGAGAATCACCACGAGTTTGACCAGAGCTACATAAGGAGACCATATCTCAAAACAAACATCAGGATGAATGGACCAACGAATAAATAAGCAATGAAAAAAAATGCACTTCCTTTGGGCCTCCTGGGGTCCTCTGCTCTATGGTGCTGCCAAGCTTTGTCAACAGAGGGTGCTAGAGCAGGCACTGTGGACAGTAGATGTCTCGCCTGGTCCTGATCCTGCTCTGAGGTTGGCTGGCAGTGGAAGGGCATCCAGAGATCACTACCCCAGCCACAGCCTGGTGAGCAGCTGTCAGCACCCTGGAGGACCCTGCAGTCCTCCCCAGGTAGACTTAGACCTCTGTCCTGCAGGTGCCCTCATTCTATTGGCTTCTGCACCTGCCACTGTGTCCTTCCTGCTTAGGGACTGTGCTGTGGCCCAGGCACCCACACAACTTCTCCACATCCAGCATGCTGCACCCCAGCATCAGGGATCACCTGCTTCTTTAGGGCTCCCCTAGGGAACTTTAAAGTTCTCTTTGTGTCTTATGTTACTTTCCTATGTAATCAGCCCATTTTGTTTTGGTAATACTGGAAGTTGAACTCAGGGCTTTACACTTGCTAGGCAAGCACTCAGTCACTGAGCCCAGCCTGAAGGTCCAGCCCAGGAATATGGACAATATCCCCCACATCTCTCCACTAGGAACAAAATCCTGTGATGCCCCATGTACCCTGCTACCCAGCCTAAAACCAGCCCTCTTCCAACACTGTGGGGGTTCACTCTCTCCAGTCACTGTGGCCTCCTCAGTGGTCCAGATTTCACAAACCAGATCTTGTTAATCCATCTTTTCTCCTACTCCCCAAGTTCCCCCTCCCTCCTCCCCACTTCTCTTCTGCCAGAGATACCACCAGGCTATATTGCCCACCCTGCTCCCTCTTTGTCCCCTGATTCCATTGACCCTCTTCAGACTGACACTTCCTCTAAGTGCCTCTTCACCTGCTGCCCAGCCCCCTCTGATCCCCATTTTCTGCATGAACTTGTCTCCTGCCACATTCTCACCATTATTCATTCATTTTTCTACTGTCCTTCATAGAGGAAAGGTCTCCAGGAGGAGAGGACTTTGTCTTATTCATCAAAGCATCTCCTGAGCCTGAATTCTAACTAGATACACATAGGTGCTCAGTAAAGATTTGTTAACTTGGGGCTGGAGAGATGGCTCAGCAGTTATGAGCACTGGCAGCTCTTGCAGAGGACCCGGATTTGGCTCTCAGTACTAACATGGCGGTTGACAGCCATCAGTCTATAACTCCAGTTCCAGGTGAATCCGACTCTCTCTTCTGACCTTGGGAATTGCACGACATAGGTGCCCTTGCATACATGCAGGCAATGCACCAAACACATAAAAATAATAAATATTTTTTAAGATGTGTTAAGCCAGGCATGGTGGCTTTAATCCCAGCATTCAAGAAACAGAGGCAGGTAGATCTCTGTGAGTTCAAGGCCAGCCTGGTCAACATATCAAGTTCCAGGCCGACTGGGGCTACAGGAAGACCCTGTCTCAAAAGACCAAAAAAACAAACAAAAAAGATTTGTTAGCTGGGCGTGGTGGCTCACGCCTTTAATCCCAGCACTTGGGAGGCAGAGGCAGGGGGATCTTTGTGCGTTTGAGGCCCGCCTGGGTTACATAATGAGTTCCAGGACAGCTGGGGCTATAAGGAGACCCTGTCTCAAAAAGACAAAAAAAAAAAAAAAGATTTGTTAATTAATTGAATAAGTGCCCCAATGCCTTCTCTCCTCCTTCCTGCCCAAGGCCCAGGCTCCACTTCTCCTCTGTGACTAGCTAGGCTCTGAAGGATGCTTGTCCTCCCCTCACCTCCTACAGCATCTGATCTTAGAAGCCAGGCATAGTCCAAAGGGAGGGTGCAGACAGAAGACAACAGGCCAGTTTTATTGAAGCAGAGGGAGAGGAGTAGTACACAGGAGTGGGGGGTTAGAGCGGAGAACAGGGAAGGGAAAGAGGGGCACCAGAGGCTCCAGGCCAAGGTGATCTTGCAGAGAGGGCTGTGACCACACGATGCCAGTCACTTCTTCCATTCCTTCCTCTCGTAGTCCCAGTGGGCGGCCAGGCCCTGCACAGGGTTGCTCTTCATATCTAAGAGGCGCTGGAGCTGTTGGGCTTTGCGCTCGTCTGTCAGGGTGATGGGCTTCTTAGGGAACACTGCAGGGAGGGCAAGGGTAGGGCAGTGGCAGCAGGTCCCGCCAGCCACCGTTCCTCTGTGCCCTAGTCTACAGCCACAAGACTATGGTCCCCTGCACTATGCGGTGCCCTCCCCACTATCCCAGGCTCTGTTGAGCATGGCTCCAGGACCTCGCTCTGCTCCCAGCCTTAGAGTCACTGCAAGAATTGAATCAAATTCCTTCTCCACACTGAGCCTCAGTGTCCTCACTTACCACTGTGGCAAGTGGCAGGATGAACATGACTTGAGGACCACCTAGATCACCCTCAGCCCCACCATTCCGCCACTGTGTGGCGTGGAACAAGTCACTTCACCTCTCTGAGTTGGCTCCTTCAGCTGTTGGCAATAGGTGCCATCAGGGAGACTTGTGGGAATGAAGTGCTAGGATTTGTGAGGTCCTGGGCACTGTGCTGCACAGAGAGGAAGCGCTGGCTGTAGACCCCCATTCCCCAGGAAGGGTTCAGGAGCCCTTTTGTGTCCTGAAGGGATCTTAGCACTTGGGGAATTAAGGCAAAAGGATAGAGAGCAGCCACGCACACCTTTAGTCCCAGCACTTGGGAGGCAAAGGCAGGAGGAGCTCTGTGAGTTTGAAGCCAGCCTGGTTTATATAGTGAGTTCCAGGCCAGCTGGAGCTACAGGGAGGACCCCCCCCCCCAAAAAAAAAGGATAGAGAGCTTGAGGCCAACCTGGGCTACATAGAAAATTCTAGGCCTGACTGGTAAGCATAGAGAGTTTTAGTCTCAGAAAACTCTAAAAAATGTCAAATAATAAATACCAGGAAAACCAGCACTTAGCCCAAAGATTGGACCCTCAGGGAAAGATCCGAGAGGCCCTTACCTGGGGACCAGGGAAGGCCTGGGAACTGGAGCCCCCAACCTGTGCACGCTGGCTCCTGAGGCTAGTCAGATACCCTTAGCCTAGCCTCTAGCACTGATACTTTAAAACTTTTTTTAAACTGGGTGTTGATGGTGCATTCCTTTAATCCCAGCACTTGGGAGGCAGAGGCAGACAGATCTCTGTGAGTTCAAGGCCAGCCTGGTCTATGTAGCGAGTTCCAGGCCACCTGGGGCTATAGGGAGACCCCGTCTCAAAAAGAGCAAATAAAAAAAAAATGGTGGGGGGCAGGGCTGGAGAGATGGCTCAACAGTTAAGAACACTGCCTGTTCTTGCAGAAGACCCGGGTTCAAATCCCAGCACCCACATGGCAGCTAACAACTATTCCTAACTCCAGTTCCAGGGTATCCGACAGCCTCTTCTGTCCTCTGTGGGCATTGCATGACATGGGTGCACTTACCTACGTGCAGGCAATACATGCATACACATAAAATAATAAAATATTTTTAAAAAATTTTTTGGATTTACTTATTTTTATTTTCATGTGTATGATTGTATTGCCTACATGTATTTAAGTGCACCCATGTCATGCAGTGCCTGAGGAGGCAGAAAGAGGGCACTGGATTTCCTGGAACTTGAGTTATGGATGGCTGTTAGCTGCCATGTGGGTGCTAGGAACCAAACCCAAGTCCCCTGCAGAAGCAGCCAGTGCTCTTAACTACTGAGCCATCATCTCTTCAGCCCCTTAATTTTTTTTTTTTAAATTTTTATTCTTTTTGGTCTTTTTGAAGCAAGGTCTCCCTGTAGCCCCAGCTGTCCTGGAACTCACTATGTGGACCAGGCTGGCCTTGAACTCAGAGATCTGCCTGCCTCTGCCTCCCAAGTTGGTTCTCTTCTTCTACCATGTGGATCCCGGAAATTGAAACACATTGTCAGGCTGTAATCCTAGCACATGGGAGGCAGAAGCAGGAGAATTGCTGCAAATTGGAGGCCAGCTTGGTCTGCAAAGTGAGATGTAGGCTAGCCAGGCCCTGAATTAAAAAAAAAAAAAAAAAAAAAAAAAAAAAAAAAAAAAAAAAAAAAAACACTAAACAAAGACGCTACAGAGATAGCTCAGCAGTTAAGAGTGGTGACTGCTCTTGCGAGATGGGAGATGGTTCAGTGGGTAAAGGTGCTTACAGCCAGGCCTGACTAACTGAAAGTTGTCCTCTGACCTCTACACATGTGCATGCACCCTATAAATAAATTTTGTATGTTTTATTTATTTATTTTAATTTAATGTGTGTATGAGTGTATTGCTCACATGTATGTAAGTGCATCTGTGTCATGTGATGCCCATGGAGGTCAGAAGAGGGCATTGGATCCCTTGGAACTGGAGTTATAGATGGTTGTTAGCTGCCACCTGGGTCCTGGGAACCGAACCTGGGTCCTGTGCAAGTATCCAGTGCTCTCAACTGCTGAGCCATCTCTCCAGCCCTAAGTAAAATTTTTAAATGAAAGGAAAAAACAACACAGGCATGATGGCTCACATCTGTAAAACTAGTAGGAAGACCTGATTCCTAGAAAAAGACTACATTTCCCAGCTTCCCTTTTAGTTAGGCATGGTCATGTGATCATCTGTAGCCAATAGGGATGATCAGAAGTGGCTAGCCTTGGAGCACCCATCTTGTATGTCATATGGAGGCTTCCAGTTAAGGATGGCTGAGCAAAAGCTCTGTAGCATTTCCAGACTCCTGATTATTTCTCTGTCGTCTGTTGTGTGAAAAGTTTGAACCTAGCTAGGTGTGGTGTGCACACCTTTAATCCCAGAACTGAAAACCACAAGTATACCAGCCTGGACTGCATAGTAAACCCTGTTTAAAAAAGGGGGTGGGGAGAGGGGGCTGGAGAGATGGCTGATGGGTTAAGTGCACGGGCTGCTCTTTCAGAGGACCCAGGTTCAGTTCCCAGCACCCGCACGTGGCTAACCAGGGGCTGTAGCTCTAGATCCAGGGATTGACGCCCTCTTCTGGTCACTATGGGTACTGCACACACGTGGTGCTTCCATTCAGGCAAAATACTCATACACATAAAAATAAATAATAAAAAAAAAATGTAAGGAAAAAGAGGAATAAACCTGTGCCTTCCTTAAGCTCTTACATGCTACAGATTCTTTGTTACAATTACTGGAAAATGTGTTGAGAAATACTTGGTTAGTACCCAACAATCAGTAACAGCACCATTCCTGTGCCAGTTCAGACCTACAGGCCTCTTAAAGCCTCACAAGAGCCCAGAGAAGTGGATATTATTCCCATTTTATAGATGAGAAAACTGAGGCCCAGAGAGCTAAATCTGTACATTCCAACCCAGGCAGCCATATTCTGCCCCTCAGCCTCCACTTCTGTGGAGCCTTCTCAGACCCCTTCAGATGATGCCTAATATGGTCCCCTTCCTAAGAGCCCAGCCAGTGGCTACATGCACAATGGCATGCCCTGGCTTGTGGCCAGGTGATATACCCACTTACCATAGACCCGCTCCCACCAAATCACCAGAGCTGTGATTCCAACGAAGAAGAAGACACAGCCCATCACCGTCTTCCACTCATTGGAGCGTCGATTCATCTCTGCAAAGGTTTGGTGGAACTGGAGCCGGTACACTGTAGGCAGGCAGAGTGTGGAAAGAGCTTCATCCCTGTCCATGCCAAGCACCCTGGGCCCTGCAGTCTGCCCCTGAACCCTGGCCAGCCCCTTCTGCAGTTTCTGATGTTTGCCCAGCCCGTGTGTGTGTGTGTGTGTGTGTGTGTGTGTGTGTGTGTGTGTGTGTGTGTGTGTGTTGCCCCCCAGTCTCCCTGTGGTTTGCTCCCATTGTTGGTGGTTGTGTTGGTTGTGGAATTGTGTTGAGTTTTCCTCTGCAAGAACAGCCAGTGCTCTACCACTGAGCCATCTCTCCAGCCCTGACCTTATTTTTGGAGACAGGGCCTCTCACTGAACCTGAAGCTCACTGATTCCTCTAGACTAGCTTGCCAGTGAGCTCCAGAGACCAGCCTGTCTTGGCCTGCCCAGCAATGGGATTACAGGCATGTATTACCACAACCAGCTTTTTATATGGGTGCTGGGGATCTGAACTCAGGTCCTCAGGCTTGCATGGCAGGGCAGGCAGTCCATTTACTGACTGAGTCTTCTCCCCAGTCTACCCAGCCCATTCTAGTTTGTTTTTATGTTTATTTGAATCTTCCTGAATGCACAGTGTGCCTGCGTCCATCTCATCCGTCATATTCTTAGTGAGCTGAATGTGTAATGGGCTACGTGGTAAGAGCCATTGGCACAGACAGGGAGGGACCAGGGAAGGGCCTTGTGGCTGGGGAGGAGGATGAAGTGTTAGCAGGAGATTGCTCCTACAGGACCTAGCCAGCCACAGGAAGGGGAGACTTGGGACTATTCTAGTTGAATGAGGAGGGTGGATTTCAAAGAAGTACAAAAGCAAGCTTTTGTAGATCAGCTTTTATCAGGGCTGTTCCTGACCTTCTCCTTGCCCCACAGCGAGCTTGGATCATCTGCTTTCTTATTTCCTGCTTATCTTTCCTAGGAGACCATGCCTTCCAAAAAGCAAGGACTCTGGCCTTTACTGCACTCCCAGCACCTAGAACATTGATGGCACACCAGAAGCTTTGCTCTGTTTTGTTACATCTTTAAATGGTAAGCCTTTGTTTATTTGGGAAAGGGTCTGACTATGTAGCTCAGTCTGGCTTCAAATACACAATCCTCCTGCCTCAGTTTTCCCAGTGCTGGGCTTCTAGGTGTCTGTCACCATGTCAGCTTAAACTTCTAATTTTTTTGCTTAAATTGTGCTCCTTCTAATAGTTATCAAAATGTAACCATAGGGGGCTAGAGAGATGGCTCAGCAGTTAAGAACACTGACTGTTCTTGCAAAAGACCCGGGTTCGAATCCTAGCACCCACATGGCAGCTAACAACTGTCCGTAACTCCAGTTCCAGGGGATCCAACAGCCTCTTCTGTCCTCCATGGGCATTGCACAACATGGGTGCACTTACCTACATGCAGGCAATACACACATACACATAAAATAAAAATAATTTTAAAAAATATTAAAAAATGTAACCATGGGTAAATATCCAGAAAGACTCTGGCACGCTGTGGGGAGATGCACAGACTGGGTTAAGTCACTGTTAACTGAGCCCTGGTATTCTCCTCTAGTTCACCAAGGGATACCCCGAAATCTTCCCAGAGTGCATGGCTTGGCAGCTGTATATGTAGGCCCTGGTACCTTCTTTGGGTGTACAGTTCCTGCCTCTCTCTAGGCACTCTAGCCATGCAGCCAGGTCAGTGGTTTCATGGTCCTGAGCCTCAGTTTCCTCAACTGTGAGCCATGAGACCCATTGGCATAGCGGGGCCAGCTGCTGGCAAGTTAATGGTTAGTACAGAGACATGCTTTATGTGCTGACTTTTAGGCAAAGAAGGAAAAGGGGGTCCCTTGCTGGTATGGAAGGAGAGGAAGGGAGAAGGCAGAGGTAAGGGGATTGGGAGTATGGGAGAGGAAGGAGGACTAGAGAGGGAAGAGGGAGAAGGCAGAGGAAGGAAGGGAGAGGGAGGGAGAGGAAGTTGGTGGGAGGAAGGAAAAAAGTCAGGCAGAGCACTGGGTATGAATTTACTGGGCAAGGATATAGCCTGGCTTGTTCCCAGCCATAGTACCAGGGCCTGCCTTCATAGTAGACGTTCAGGAAGACAGGAAGGAAGGAAGGAAGGAAGGAAGGAAGGAAGGAAGGAAGGAAGGAAGGAAGCAGCGAGCAGTGCCAGCCTCTGCCTACTAGGTCTCCCACCCCCACCCCCACCCCCGTGAAATGAGACCAAGAGGTTCCAAATAACCAAGGTCAGCCCAGGACCATACAGCCCTCCTATGTCCCAGATCTCTTGACCCCTGTGCCCTGCCCACCTCATCTGCCTCTCTGTGCCCACCTAGTTACAAAGAAACCTCCACACCTACTGCTGCAACACCCTCCCCTGTGCCATTCCTCTTCCTCATTCAGAGGTCAGGACCCTATCGGTCCTTTGGATCTGGGCACACCCCACCTTAGCCACACATCCTGTCTTGCAGTCCTGGCCTGGTAGCACTGTGAGCTCAGGAGTCATCCAGGTGACATACAAGAATGAGTTGATGGGACTGGAGAAATGGCTCAGTGGTTAAGAGCACTTGCTGCTCTTGCAGAGGACCAAGGTTTGGTTTCCAGCAAATATGGCAGTTAACACCTATCTATAACTCCAGTTCCAGGGGATCTGACGCCCTCTTCTGGTCTCCACATGCATACATTGCATATATATGGTACACTCACATGCACACAGAAACACTCATACACAAAAAATAAAAGTAAATAAATAAAATTTTAAAAAGGAGTGAGTTGATGGGGGAAGGGGTCCAAATATGATCAATATATACTGTATGAAGTTCTCAAGGAATCAATACAAATGTTATTTTAAAAAATGAGTTGGAAAAAAAATGAGTTGAAGCTGGGCATGGTGGCACACACCTTTAATCTCAACAATCAGGAGGCAGAAGCAGGTGGATTGCTGTGAGTTCAAGGCCAGCCTGGTCTGCATAGTGAGTTTCAGGCCAGCTGGGGCTACAGGGAGATCCTGTCTCAAAAAGACCAAAAAAACAGGTGCACTTATCTACATGCAGGCAATACATGCATACACATAAAATAAAAATAATAATTTTTTTTAAAAAGACCCAAAAAAAATTTTTTGAAAGGAGTTGAAGGGCTGGTGCTCAGCAGTTAAGAGCACTGGCTGCTCTTGCAGAGGACCCGGGTTCAATTCCCAGCACCCACATGGAGGCTAACAACTGTCTGTAACTCCAGTTCCAGGGGATCTGATGCCTTTTTCTGACCTCTGCAGGCATTGCATGACACAGGTGCACATACATACATGCAGGCTTTACACTCAAACACATAAAAATAATAAATAAAATATAAAAAAATAATAAATGAGTTGAGGGCTGGAGAGATGGCTCAGCGGTTAAGAACACTGTTCTTGCAGAAGACCAGGGTTCGAATCCCAGCACCCACATGGCAGCTAGTAACTGTCCATAACTCCAGTCCCAGGGGATTTGACAGCTTCTTCTGACCTCCACAGACATTGCACGACACGGGTGCACTTACTTACATGCAGGCAATACACACATACACATAAAATAAAAAAAATAAGTGAGTTGAACTCCACCCCTCCATGCCTTCCCCCCTCTACAGCCAGTCAAACCCATCCCAATACCTACAGGCCACCTTCTCTGCTTGACTCAGCTGGGCCCAGCTCCCCTTCTCCTTCTCCTTCAGGGCCTGCTGCTCCGCACTGAGCTCTGTGCAGAAGGGCTCATCTGGCATGGGGTAGGAGCGCTGGGCGTAGCAGTTGCTGTAGGGGGTCATCTTCCCCTGGCTTCGGGCTGCAGGCACAAAGAGGGAGCTGTGTCCAGAGTCGTCTATCTTTAACCATGATATTAATTAAAGGGGCTGCATTTATTGAGCCAGTTTATGGCTTCCAAGTTGGCTCTTTGGCCACACATCACTCTGAGCTGGGTGATGTGGTCATCTCCATCTGGCAGATGAAGCACTGAGAAGCTAAGTGATTTGCTGAGATTGACATCAAGGAGCAGGGCCTGGGCTGCAGGTCAGCACCCCACGGGCTGCAAACTCTGTGTTCTCTGGGAAGATCTAAGCCAACGAGGAGGTCATGTCTGGCAGAGATCAGGAATAGGCAAGGGCTCAAAGAGGGAACCTGAAGTCTAGATAAAAATGTCCTGAAAACCATAAAGCGGCCCCTGTACAGGCCCTAACAAGTGCTTAGTGTGGCTTTAGAGACAGCTGGGTCTGAGCTGCATCTTGACCCAGCCCATTACATCCCCATTTGTGCCTGGCTATACCTCAACAGCCTCATCTAGAAAGTGTAGGTGACAGGCAGCCTGCCTCAGACCTCAGTGGAAACTTCCAGATAATGCACCCAAAGTGCCACTGGGGGAAGACGACTGGGAGCATAGCTCAGTTGGTAAAGAGCTTGCCTAGCATGCAGGAAGCCCTGGGATGTTCAAAGCCCTGGGTTTGATTCTCAACACCACTGAGCATCATGGTGCATGACTGTAATCCCAGCACTTGGGAAGTGGGGACAGGAAGATGGAGTTCAGGGTCCTCTTCAGCTACATAGTAAGTTCCAGATCAGCCTGGGCTACACAGACCAAAACGAGAGAGAGAGAGAGAGAGAGAGAGAGAGAGAGAGAGAGAGAAGAAAAAGGGCCAGCAAGATGGCTCAGTGGGTAAAGGCTCAAGTTGTGGCATGCCCACACCTCATCATGCATACATACAATAATAATTTTCTTCTAAAGTACCAAAAGGCTTGTTGCAGTACCTGGTACCCCATAGTGCTCAGTAATCACAGTTTTCCTCCAGGCCTCTTCTCTGTCCCTGGTAGCTAGGCCTGGGCTTCCTTCAGGTAGCCAGTTGCCCAGAGTAAGGCCAGGCAGTGGAGTATCTCAACATAGTGTCTCTTTTGCTGTGGATACCCAAGAGGGAGACAGCAACAGCCTTGGTCTTGACTCTCTCTTTCTTTCTTTTAAATATTTAGTATTTTATTTATTATTTTTATTTGATGTGTACGAGTATATTGCCTGCATGTAGTAGGTGCGCCCGTGTCACACAATGCCCGCAGAGGACAGAAGGGGCCATCGGATCTTCTGGAACTGGAGTTACGGACAGTTGTTAGCTGCCATGTGGGTGCTAGGATTCGAACCCAGGTCTTCTGCAAGAACAACCAGTGTTCTTAATCACTGAACTATCTCTCCAGCCCATTGACTCTTTTTTTCCTAGTTTGTTTTTTTGAGGACAGTCTCACTTGGTAGCCCAGGCTAGCCTTGAACCTGGGCTGATCCTCCTGCTTCAGTATTCCAAATGCCGGGGTTGTAAGTATGAGCCACCACACCCAGACTTTTTTATTTTGAGATAAGAGTTGCCCCAGCTAGACTAGAACTCTCTGAGTAGATCCTGCTGGTCTCAATCTGACTCAGCCTCCCAAGTACTGGGATTAAAGGCGTGCCCACCACACCACATACCTGTTTTTTTTGTTGTTTGGTTTGGTTTAGTGTTTTGCCTTTTGAGACAGGGTATTAGTCAGCCCAGGCCTCTTTGGAATTTGTACCAATCCTCAGTTTCAGCCTCCTGAGTGCTGGGATTACAGGTGTTTATCTTGTTTGATTTTTTTGTTTTTGAGACAGGGTCTCCCTGTAGCCCCAGCTGACCTGGAACTCACTATGTAGACCAGGCTGGACTCCATCTCACAGAGATTCACCTACTGGGACAGGTGTAAGCACCATACCTGACTTAGATCCTGCCTCTTCTTACTATCTAACCCTTTGGGGCCCAGTTCATCAGAGAAATGGAGATAGTATCACCTCACATTGTTGTGGACTGGTTGTTGTGAAATCTAAAGGTATAAATTCATGTAAAGTGTTTAGCACAGCTTGGGAGACCAAGTAACCACTCAACAAATGTCTTTGATACTCTTCTCCTGAGCATCAGGAAAGTTGTTCTGCTAGCTGGCTAAAGTCACTCTTGTTTTAGGCCTTTTTCTACTGACAATAGGGTCTGGAAAGGAGGACTCAGGGTCCTAGTCCTGTAGCATCCTCCCCATTGGGACACAAAGGCCTTAGGGGTCCAAAGTGTGGGAACCAGGCTTTAAGGAGGTTGGAATGAAGGAATCTACTCTCTGCTCTCCCAATGGGATCCATTTGCTGGAGTAACTTGCTTCAGGGTCCAGGAGCCGATCAAGGGAAATGATGTGGGCAACCAACAGGGCCCCAGCCGGAGCTGGACTGAGCTCGAGGGGCCTGAGCCTTACCAGTGTCTCCTGAGCCGTGTGTCTCTCGAGTTCCGAGTCCTCTTGTCCTTAGTGCCAAGCTCCTGGCTGCTCTGGAAAGCATCTGGTGGGGTAGGGTGGGGTGTTTTGCTCTCTAGCTGCCCACAGGCCAGACTCAGATGTGGGTCGTGGTTGGCGGGTTAGAGGTTTTCCTTTCTTCCCCTGACCCGTCCAGCTTTTAATATTCTCATGGAGCAGATGGAACACCCTAGACTTTTGGAGCCTCTTTTGGGTCTACTGTTGGAGAAGTGGGAGGAGGCTAGCCTGCTAGGTGGGGTCCGAGGGACTGGGGGACTGAGCTCCTATGCCCACCCCCATAAGCCAGGTTGTTTGCCCTAGAGGGACAGGGGAGTCCTGAGCTTCTCCCCCACTGGGCCATCTGCCCAGGTCTCTGCGCAGATGGCCCACGTTCCCCTCCAAGGTCCCCTTAATTGGCTGCCTACGTGCGCTCCGCCAGCTCCGCTGGAGGGGGAGGGTAGAGGCGGCAGGGTCTGGTATCCCAAGGGCTTTAGAGGCCAGGGACCAAACTGGGTGACCCGGCCAGAGAGGCGGCACATCTGGAAAAGGGGCCGACCCAACTCTGAAAAGAAGGGACCCCCCCTCCCACCTCCAGGAAAAGAGATGCGGGGGACTAGAAGGACCCCGGGACCAGAATCTGGGGGACCCCAGGAAGGCAGGCTGCAATGATGGGAGCCTGGACCCTTCGGGACCACCGTCTCCACTCACCTTGCAAGCTGGCCTCGGCGGGGTTGCAACGAGTGACTGGCCGCGAAACACAGATGGGACGGAGAGGACCAGAGCATGCCCCGCCTCCACCCGCTGCCCCTGCGTGGGAGCGTCCTGCCTCCGCCCAGCGCCTGGCCGCGTCCCCCGCGGAGCGGGGACCGGGAGGACTGCACTGCAGCTGTCGGGTCCCCATCCGCGGGGGTCCGGCCTCGGGACACCTGGGCTGACAGCGCCCGGGGAGCATACCAGGATTGCCGCCTGGTTTTGTTAAGATAATAGCCCAGGCTAGTCTTGAACTCTATAACAAAGACGCCTGCCTCTACCTCCCAGGTGCAGGGATTACAGGTGTGATTGGAAAGCCTTCTGAATGTGGGTCTTGCCAGCCTTCCCGCCTCCTACACAGGCAGCCTTCAAGCACCAACCTGGGCGCTGCTTCCCATCCACCTTACCAGGGGTGCAGAAAACGCCACCCAAAGTCTTCCCTCTGGATTTAGCTGTGTGCCTCTCAGCAAAGGGAAAGGTCCGGAAGTCTCTCAGCCGTTTTCCTCCCTGTGAAAGGGAGCTAAGAGCAACTCTACTTGGTGGTGTTTGCTTTCCTGGCTGTGGGAAAGGTTGAATCTAGTAACAGGAAAACTTCAGGTACATTTAATCAAGAATCATTTAATGATGCTGGTCAGGGAGCATGTAATCCCAGCTGCTCTGGATGATGAAGCAGGAATTTTATTTTATTTTTTTGTGACAGGGTTTCACTGTGTAGCCCCAGCTGGTCTGGAACTTGCTATGTAGAGCAGGCTGGCCTCAATCTCAGAGATCCACCTGCATCTGCTTCCCAAGTGCTGGGATTAAAGGAATGTGTCACAACACCCAGGCTTTTTTTTAGAAAAACTGTTTTATTGGGCTGGGCGTGGTGGCGCATGCCCTTAGTCCCAGCACTCTGGGAGGCAGAGGCAGGCTGATCTCTGTGAGTTCCACGGCCAGCCTGGTCTCTATAGCAAATCCAGGTCAGCTAGGGCTACAGGGAGACCCTGTCTCAAAAAAACAAACAAAAAAAAGTGTTTTATTTATTATTACTGTGCACATGTGTGTTCCCACAGTGTGGTGTGAGTGTGAGCATGCTCATGCCATAGTGTGGGTGTGGAGGTCAGAGGACAACTTTCGGAAATCAGTTCTCTTCCACCCTGGGTTGCTGAGATGGAAGTTCTGTCCTCAGGCTTGCTTGGCAAGTGCTCTTACCCACTGATCCATCTCACTAGCCCAGGAGGTCTTGAGTTCAAGACTATCTTGGGTAACATTGTTGGTCCCCCTATCCTAAAAAGGGGGCAGGGGAGCCAGGTGTGATGACACATGCTTATAATCCCAGCACTCAGGAGGCTGAAGTAGGAGGATCACAGTGAGTTCCAGGGCAGTCTGGCCTATATACTGATTACCAGACTAGCAAGAGCTACATGGAGAGATTCAGTCTTAAAAAAATAAAACACCAGGGGCTAAAGAGATGGCTCAACAATTAAGAGCACTGGCTGCTCTTACAGAGGACCTGGGTTTGGTTCCCAGTACCCACAAGGCAGCTAACAACTGTCTATGACTCCAGTTCCAGGAGATCTGACACCCTCTTCTGACCTCTGCAGGCATTTCACTACATGGGTACATGTACATACATGCAGGCAATATACTCATACATAAAAAATAAAAATAATTTTAAAAATTAAAAAGTATGCCAGGCGTGATGGCGCATGCCTTTAATCCCAGCACTTGGGAGGCAGAGGCAAGTGGATCCCTGTGAGTTCAAGGCCAGCCTGGTCTACATAGTGAGTAGAGGGCTCCCTGGGGCTACAGGGAGACCCTGTCTCAAAAAGACCAAAAAAAAAAGTAAAAAGTAAAACATCAGTCTGGGTATGGTGGCATATACCTTTAGTCCCAGCACTTGGGAGGCAGAGGCAGACAGATCCCTGTGAGACCGGCCTGGTCTACATAGCAAGTTCCAGGCCAGCTGGGGCTACAGGGAGACTCTGTCTAAAACAAACGAAAAAAGAATTTGTCTTGAGACTGAGTACAGCTGTATTAGCAATCTAGATGCTAACAAGACTAGACATGGCTCTTGACCTGACAGGACTCACAGTCCAGTTCCAGGCAGAGGAAAAGGCCTGTGGAAGACCAGAGGCAGAAAAACCTAGGATGTATTCTCAGAGCAGAAGAAAGGCCATGTGGCCAGGAATGCAAGAGCAGGGCTGAGAGAGTGAGGAGGTGAGATGAGCCACCAAATCTGGAGAGGGCAACACAGGCTTCTGGAATTCCAGTAGCCCCTTAGCACCCAGGACTGGGACTGTAGAGCCCTCTAGTGATCACTCCAGGGAGCTACCCCCCCTCTGTCTCCCCCACTCCTCACTGTCCTCATCCTTGCCCCCACCCCAGCCACCCTAATCATGGTGATTCTAGATTTAAGAGACACCAAGGCACTTCTTTACCTCTAGGAGACCAGGGTGTCCTGTAGAACAGCCTCTGCAACAGAGGGCAGGAGAAAACCCTCCTTCCTGCAGCCTGGAGGACAGCATACCTTCAGACCTTTGTATTTTGCATTAGCAGTGATTGATCCCAGGATCTTGCCACCACACCCTTGAGTCTTGTCATGACGACTTTCACGATGGATGGGTAGCTTAACTGGGGTGAGTAGCCTATGGGTAGGCTCTACTGTTCCCACACTGACTGGGAAAGGAGTGCCATTGCTGGGCCTCAGTTTCCCATCTCTCACAATGCCTCCTATGGGAAGACATATGGAACATGACCCTTTGCTCTTTCCTGCCCTTTCCCACCAGCCTCTATGGGAACTCCAGGCTTCAGATGTGAAGTGATGCTGTGATAAGGAACATCTGTGCAGAAGCTGCCTGAGGGCCGAGGGAAGGGGTGAGGACCACAGGGCATTGTAGATATTGTAGAGCAACCTCAGGGGTCATGAACCCCGGACAGACTCTTCCATATATCAGGACCTCCACGTAAAGGCCACGGCGGCAGGCTGTGCCTGTGGAAACAGTAAGATATCCTTTTTCTTTGGGCCCCAAGATCCAAACTCCTTGGGGGAGCTCCTAAAGAAAGGGGCAGCTTGGGCTCACTTGGTCAGCTCCAGAGAGTGGGAGATCCTGCCAAGACAGGGTAGGGTGACTGAGCGCGCAGCACTGGAACTAGATGCAGTGGGCGTGACTCGCCCTGTAAGGTCAGGGACTGAGCCATGGGAGTGGGTCCAGTGGAGGTGAAGGGGTCAGGTGAGCAGAGGGACCTTGCGAGTCCATCCTACAGGAACGTGGCAGCCGGGCAAAGCCGACTGGGCCCTGCTCCCCGCACTGAGTCTTGCGGGGTGTTTGCTCCCGAGCATAGGCTGCTCAAGCCGGCAGCTCGGAAGAACAGTCCAGAAAGCGCTCTTGATTCTAGACAAAGCCAAGCACGTGCCTGTAACTCCAGCCCATGGGGAAGCTGAAGCAGGTAGAACTCTTGGTCTTCTCTCTCCAGCTCCAGGTTCCCTCCCGCAGCGGGAGGGGCGTGGCCGAGGAAGGATCCCTGTAAGGGCTGGGAGATTGAGAGAGAGCATCCCTCATTCGGTTCTGGGACTCCTGCGCCTCCAGCGGCCTGCAGTTTTCTGCATCAGATCTTACCGGACTTTTCTCCACCGCACGCTGAACTGGCCACACAAGTCGAGGGGTGATGCTTTTTTGTTTGTTTTGAGACAAGATCTCACTCTGTAGGCCAGCAGCCTAGATCTTGGATCTTACTATGTAGACCTGACTGACTTGCAATTCTTGTTTATCCTTCTGCCCTCAGTCTCTGGGATTATAGGCATGAGCCACCACATGCAGGTGTGATGTTTTTATTTATTTATTTATTTATTTTTTTTTGGTCTTTCTAAGAGAGGGTCTCTCTGTAGCCCCAGCTGTCCTGGAACTCACTATGTAGACCAGGCTGGCCTTGAACTCACAGAGATCCACCTGCCTCTGAGTGCTGGGATTAAAGACGTGTGTGAGCCACCACACCTGGCATGTTTTTAATTTTTAAAAATATTTTATTTTTATTTTATGTGTATACATGTATTGCCTGCATGTAGGTAAGTGCACCCATGCCATGCAATGCCCAAGGAGGTCAGAAGAGGCTGTCAGATCCCCTGGGACTGGAGTTATGGACAGTTGTTAGCTGCCAGGTGGGTGCTGGGGTTTGAACCCGGGTCTTCTGCAAGAACAGTTAGTGTTCTTAACCACTGAGCCATCTCTCCAGCCCTTAAATTTTTTATTGCATTTCTTTATTGGGTATTTGTGAGTGTGTGTGTGTGTGTGAGAGAGAGAGAGAGAGAGCTTGCATGTGCATATGTCATAGCACATATGTGGAAGATAAGGGACAACTTGGAGGAGTCACTACTCTTCTTCTACCATGTGGGTCCTAGGGAGCAAACTCAGGTCATCAGGTTTGGCTGCAAGCACCCTTATCAACTGAGCCAACTCTCTGGTCTCTGTGATGGTTGTTTGTCTGTTTTTTTTGTCTTTTTGAGACAGGGTCTCCCTGTAGCCCCAGCTGACCTGGAACTCAATATGCAGACCAGGCTGGCCTCGAACTCACAGAGATCCACCTGCCTCTGCCTCCCGAGTGCTGGGATTAAAGGCGTGCACTACCAGGCCCAGCTATATATATGATGGTTTTAAACAGTAGAATATGGTCATCTTATTTAGTTTTTCCTTTTGGCTGAGATAAAAGAGCCCAACAAAAGCAACTTAAGGGAGAATGGCTTATTCTCATAGCTCAAGGATCCATCATGGTGGTGAGGTCTTGCCAGCAAGAGCTCAAAGCACAACACATCTGAAGTTAGGAAGCAGGGAAGATCAGTGCTTGTGCTCAGCTCTTTTGTGTACAGTCCAGGATCCCAACCTAGGGAATGGTGCCATCCACACTGGGTGTGTCTTCTTACCTTAATTGACTTAAGATAATTCCCAACAGGCAGGCCCAGATGCCCATCTCATCAAGTCGACAATTGAGATTAATTATTATTATTACGGGGCTAGAGAGATGGATCAGCGGTTAAGAACACTGGTTGTTCTTGCAGAATACCCAAATTCATATCCCAGCACCCACATGGCAGCTAACAACTGTCCATAAC